AGAGAAACGTGACAAAATCGAAATAGACTTATGTTTGAGAGAGGTAGGTGCAGGACTGCAGGTGTGGCCAAATGGGCAAGTTGGCTGGCAGCCAAATGGCACGCCATATCAATATGGGCTGACGACACCCTTCCTTCCTGTCGGCAAAAAGAAACAAAGAGACTAGTGAAAACAAATTCGTTAGCATTTGGGAATTCATCTGGTTCGAATCTATATGCACATGAGTTCATGACAAAGTTTTTATCTTTCTTGATTTAATGAAATGATTGCATTACGGTTGAATTGGTAGAATAATGTTATTGTCATGTATGTTTGTTAAATACATATACTGAAAGTGATTAAACGTTTCACGTTTGATCACTCTTCGTTAGCCAACTTTAACACCGTCAGTATTAAGCTGACGTGGCTAATAGAAATACTGATTCACTCATTTTTAGCCCGCCACATCATAAACCCGACTTGCCATGTCAGCAAAACCTGCCACATCATGCAACCTAACCCAACCCATAATTAGGCCCTTCTGTCTCGATCCACCCAACCGAAAAGAATCCAACCTCCAATTCTCCTCCTTCCACCACCAAATCCATAACTCCGTCAATCCTCAAATCCCCCAAAAATCCCAACCTTCAATCCTCCTCCTCTCGCTAATCGACTAGTTTCCCAAATCGACATCTCTCTCTTTACTTCTTCTTCTTCTCCAGCCACCGTCATAGCTGAAGCCCAAAAGCTTGACGCGACCCTCTTCACCTACGGGTTCTGCTTCCTAATCAGTCACCCGAGGACAACGGAGAGGTAGATAGATGCAACGGTCATGTCGCAGCTGGGAAGTGTGCAAGGCGGGGCTGGAAGCAACATAGTTGTCGCCGATGGCGACGGGGGCAGAGGCCCAGACTTTGACTTGCCAGATAAAAATCACAGCAAGTAAGTATATCGAATCGGTGTTGGACCATTCTTCTACCTCTCCGCCGTCCTCGAGTTTCTCGCCCCTGAGGCTCGTTACCCCTGAATAACTTTTTTTTCTCTTCCCGTAATCACATTTGTTAAATTAGGGATTTGTTATTAATGTTGATTGAAATTTTTTGTTGGCTAGGTTTTGGAGTTCACATGGAATACAACGAGGGAAAACAAGAAGAACATGGGTTCTGGGCTTGGATGTTGTCAAATTGGGAGAAATCCAAATTGAAAATCTCCATGAGATTCTTGAACGATTTCAGTACCACTCCGATGAGATTGTTCAAGGCAAAGATTCATGGCGTGGAGCGAGTGGAAGCTTTCGAGTAAACTAGGGATTTGGCCGGTGAGGGAATTGTCGGCGAGGTTCAACTCGAAAAGCCTGGTTAGGTTGGATATTTAACTGGGTATTGTTACACTGAACTGATTTAATGGATTGGTTTGGTTAGGAAGTTTGATTCATTGGTTTTATGACGTGGCTGGTTAAAATTGGGTGAGTCAACGTTCATGTTAGCCACATCAGCTAAATATTAACGGTGACTAACGGAGAATGACTAAACGTGAAACGTTTAACCACTTTCAGTGACCATAAATGGAATAAAATACTTCTAGTGACCAAATGTGAATCTTTTAGCACTTTCAGTGACCAACTTTGCAATTTACCCATACCAAGTGGGTACCACGCAATACACATATCGTCACCAAAAGTAAAACCATTGACAAGTGAGCCAAAATGAACAACTTGCCCACAACTCTCTTCTGCCCAAGTGGGCGGTATATCTATATATTAGGAGGATCCATCTCATTATCAAGTTGTATCCTTCTTTTAGTTCTTACCCATGGCTTCCCCTTAACCTGAAAATCAAAAAGAGAACCCAAAAACAAAAAACAAAAAGAAACTTTGTTTCCCAAGTTCACACCAAGCCCTACAACCCATTTTGACCACCATGAATGATACAAAGAGAGAGAAGGAGTCAGGGGGGAAATTCATAAGTCAGAATATTCTATTCTTTACCAATAAACAATGACAAAATCGAATCGAATCGAATGTATAAATAGCCTCTAAAAGGAGCCAGCGGTCGAGTCTCTCTTATTTTATTTAATCTTTCCCCCCATTCATTCATTCCTTCTGGTTCTGGATTTCTTCTCACCGAAGAATATCACCAAATAAGCAAAAGAGAAAAAAAAACAGAGGCTGATCTCAGATAGCTCCAGTGAACCGCCTCGGAGAATTGTTTCTCCCGACGAAGGAATCGTAGCCGAGTCGGCGGGAGCGAAAGCTTTAAAGGGTTCCCTTCCTTTTCACTCATTCATTGAAGGAAAAAAGAAAAAAGAAAAAAAAGGAGAGAGAAGCTGCCATTGTTAAGTTCCCCTGTTTCTTCCTTCCCCTGTTTTTCTCCCTCTGTTTTTCATGTGCATGGTGGTGGGTTAGTGATATGCAACCTGGACGTGGCTATGGTAATAATAACGGAAGTAAGAGGAAGCTGAAGGAGGAAGAAGATGATGATTATGGTGGGAATGGTGGTGAGCTTGGTGTGACGCCATTAATGGCGGAAGAAGTGGTGAAGACGACTCCGAGGCATAACTTGATGTCGACGGATAGGGAGATGGATGCGATGGTCTCCGCTTTGACCCACGTCGTGGCTTCCGGCGGCGGTGCGGACGGAAGTGATCAATATCGCTACGAGAATGACGGGTTTGGATGCTTTGAAACTCCCTCTGCTCCTCTCCATCAGTATCGTCATGAGTTTCAACTCTCTCAACAAGCTGCTGCACAATCTTCACCATCTTCATTCGCTGCACAAGGTAGACTTAATATTCCTCTGTCCCATGGGTGTATGCATGATTAACACTTCAACCCCTTCTAATTGTTATTAACTAGTTGGTTTCGATATGGTGGTTGGAGTAAGATTAATTACGGATTTTATACCGCTTCCGTTAATTATAGATTTTATATCACTTTTAATATATATTCTCAAATGAAATCCAATAGATGAATTTGAAATGTGCACATATTCACCATACCTAATTAGGGCAACTATTAATATTGAGGATTGTGAAAATCGAACATAGAACTACTAGGACAAACCAACTGATAAATTTGAAATATGCACATATTCACCATACTCTTGTAATTAGGTCAACTATTAATATTGAGGATCGTGAAAAATCAAACATAGGACTACTATGACAAACCAACTTTGATACCGTGTCATTAACCAGTTGATCCTGACAACTCGAATTATTAAAATCAATTGTTTAATTTAATGACACTAGTTTCATTCCGTATTCGTAAAAATCATATTGTACTGGAGGTCCGACATAAAAACCCTTATATCGAAATATAAAGTTGTAGGCGATTCTTAGTGGTACATAATAGGTGAACCACAATTTAATCATGATTTCAGCAAAAAAAATAGCATATATCGCTGACTTTTCCGATACACTATCCTGTGGTTTCAACTAATGTACAATGTTACACGTTGACCCAATTCTTTGAAATCCCTCCTAAACCATATAACCCGGAGAATTCTTTCATGAATAATTAAATTTCGCCCCGTTGAAAATTTTGGTATGAGCTGAAACTTCCCTTGATCCAAGTTTCAACTACTAATAATGTCCTGACATTTCCGTCAAGCAGGCGCCACGTTCAACGCCGCTACTTCTCCGTCACTACCACTGCCGCCACCACCAGCAGCGCCGATGATGAGCAGCAGCACTACTACAGTGGTCTACGAACACACTCCATCTTCGGGTCATCAGACACCAGCAGAGGAAGGCGGCAGCAGCGGGAGGAAGTACAGGGGAGTGAGGAGGCGGCCGTGGGGGAAATGGGCGGCGGAGATCCGCGACCCGTTCAAGGCCGCCAGAGTGTGGCTGGGCACGTTCGACACCGCGGAGGCGGCGGCCAGAGCGTACGACGAGGCTGCGCTGAAGTTCAGGGGCAGCAAGGCCAAGCTCAACTTTCCGGAGAACGTCAAGCTCAGGAGGACAATCAACACTAGCAGCAGTACCGTGACTACGGCTGCTCCACATTATGCTCACAACAACATGTTGAACATGAACCGCGGCCAACCGCAGCCAGCAAATTACTCTCAGCTGGTGTTGGGAGTCGGAGGGTACTACGATCATCGTCCTATGCCATCATCGTATCATCAATCCTCCTCACAGCTGTCTGATCAAGCGTCGAACCTCGACCAGTTGCCGATGCAGCAGCCGTATTATCCACCGCTGCCGGAACTCCAGCAGACTTCGCCGTGGCCAGCAACCTCGTCGTGTAACAGTGGAAGCCAGGGCGATTCGCCTTCAGGATGATATAGTCTTCTGGTTTCGGTTCTTGTTCTCAACCATAGCAAATGTAATATGAGAGTTTGGTAATTTAGGTTTACAATCTTTTGCTGGAGGCTAATGAAAGATGTTTCTTTCAAGGAACAAGCTATTGAGGACTTGAGGTTATATTAGCGAGTACATCACGTCAACCTGGTACGAGGAACTTTCGGCAAGCTCGAGTTTTCGAAACAAACTGCATACATGAGATGGAAACTGAATAAGAGCAAACGTTGACAGGGCGATAGGAAGTTGTCTGGTTTTCTCAAAGGAAGTTCTTTCCACTGTGCGCAGGTGTAAATAATAACGAGTCCAAGCGTAATTAGAGTCGTGCCATTAGCCAGTGGCGTTCTAAAACTGCGTACTGAGGTGCGCGAATCCGGGAAAAGTATACAACAGTTTGTCGGGCTAATCCCTCACTAACACATTCCTGACCAAACAAAGAAAATCAAACTCAAGGAAGATGGGGAAGTGAGGACGCCACCGTGAATGAATTAATCGTGTCGTCCATGGCCAGGGAGGAAGAACGTTCTTCAAGGTGATGACTTCTAAGAGCGAGCTCCCGGAGCAGCCAAACTGCGGAAGCTGAAGAAATCAGTCAGCTGAAGTAGGTAGTCGGGTTCTATATTACCACGAGTGTACGAATGAGTTTAGCGTAAACTAAGGAGAACAAGGCTGACGAAGTGTACCTGGAAATTTTTGCCGCGGGTTGTTTTAATGTTTCAGACTTTCAGAGCGGCTTTGTGAACCATGGTTTCTTTGTGGATTTGATGGCAGCTCTTCTCGACGAGATCGAGCAGCTTCTCCAAGTTCGAGGACCACAAGTTGAGGATATCGTTACTGTCTTTCGCTACTTGGAAGCTGACGACTCCCATTGGTCTGTCGATCTTGGCTATCAGTGCCTTGGACACCACCATCTCCGAAAGGTGCTTCTCCGTTTCCTGAAATTCAATCAAGCAGACAAAAATGAGGGCACTTCGAACAATTGTGAATACAAATCCCATTCCACAACAACATTGCATTCTCCGACAAGCTTAATTATGCAAACAGTGAGCTGTAAACCGCATACGCTATGCAAACCAGTTACTTCTTACAAAAACATAGCAGAGGGCAGTGCTTGCTAGATTCTAGTTGATAATATGCAATTAGTTCACTAACTGACTAGCCACGTACAAGGGGTCCAAGCTCATATCCTACTGAAGATCAATACGGTTTACATTTATTAACCATAATTGCAAGATTGTGCGCACCATCTTCCAATAATCAAGAGAGCAAGAGAAAAAGAGGATAAGCAAGGAAATACGAACACTTACAGGAATGCTGAGGCACAACAACTCGGCCAATCTCTTGACGGTAATCCTCGAGTAATATTTAGAGACAACGAGGATATTCTGAAAAACAAAAGAGAAGGAAACACTATTGGCATAAATAACTTCATCAAGAGATGCAAATTAATTCTTGGTTTAAGTATAGACATGTGGAACTTACATGTTCAATTACTCTTTGCCTCAAGTCTTCAGCTGCTTTATCCACTAAAGAACCTCCAAGCAAGTTCTTCTCGCTGTCAAATTCTTCCTTGTAACTATCCCATAGGGATGTCCATGTAACGACCTCCATGGTGACCAGTTGTTTCAACAACGTCCTGCGAAAGAACATTTTCATCATACATTAGTATTTGTCTGCTGACTCATGAAAGTTGGCTGAAAAGCAACTACTACATACTTAAACTGGGGAATTTCAGAGAGGTTTTTGTCTTCAAGGGTGGAATTGAGAAGACTCGACTGCATTGGATCATGTGGTGCCAAAACCAGGTACCAGCAAATTTTCCTCAGGACCTGCATTATAGAACCAATCCATTAGAACAGTCTGGAGGATGAGCACAAAAACCAGAGGGGTAACAAGGTGCAGCCGAACTGTTACCTGTGTCCACTGGGCCGGATCTTCCTTCACGGCAGGAATCTCATATATTGACTTGTAGCAACGACAGATTTCGAGGTACTCATTGTTATGGGAGTAATACCTAGAAATATCAGAAAATACAAATGTCATCCCATGAATACTAAAAAAGCAAATAGGCTATTATTATCTACAAGGCAATTCTAATCCTTAGATATAAAAGTATGCACGAATCAGAAACCGCAGATGAAGAGTCTAGCCAAGCAGGTCGAAGTAAATTTGCAGGGGAAAATGCCAATAATAATACAGTTGTGGTTAATTTTGATAGTATCATTGGCAGCATACATGTGGTAAAGCAAAGATTCAGACTGTTCAAAAGGCATCTAATGGAAACCAATGAATAGAAGGGAATAACAAATTTTCAAGGTCGTGCTAAGAGATGAGAATTGGCCTTTTACTCTCGTCATTTTATGGTTTTAAACTATAAACATTGCAAAAGCACGACTTTAGAATACTAATTACAAAAGCAAATTCTGAGCAGCCAAGGGAGACCAATTTGCACGGTTAAAGAAATTATGCAAATATCATAGGTTCCAGCAGAGTTAGGGAACACTTAGCAACTGCTAACCTTATCATCAATTCATAGTAGATCCTCTTTAGCTCCATCAGGGATGGTATATCAGCAGGAGCCTCTTCAACAACATTATCACCTTCCTTAGGCTTCTTCTTTTCTTTGGAAGTATCGACATTAAATACCCTTGGGCTGATTTTCCTTGATAGAATTTGAGCACGGACATAATCTTGCCTGTCTAAGCACAAACGAACCTGCAAGAGAACTAATTTGAGTAATAGACCTAATATCAACCATAAGATATTACCATGCAGGCATCTCGAAAATACAGAAGACATTGACAGCACTATTCATAAACCCCTAGTAATTATTTCTATAATTCCAGGACTCTTTCTATAATTCCAGGACTCCACAAGAATTATTCATTCAATGGGGCTGACAAATAAAACTGGAAGCAATATAATGTAACACCTACTTGTTCGAGTATGAAGGCAATCTTTTCAGTCTTTGCCATAGCACCAAAGGTCTCAACCTGGAAGACAATCGTACCGAAAAGTGCCAGAAAACTTTTTAATCATTGGTCAAAAGACCATTGCGGTGAAATACAACACAGAAGAACAACGTATAGTCCTATGCAAACAAACTTACTGCAACTTCTTGCATTAGATCAGCAGCTTCAGCTATAAGGCCCTGTTCTTCCTTAATCTTGGCTAGTTTCTTTATCAAGCGTGCCCTCTCAATTTCAACAAAGATCTGAAGCACACAGAATTTGTTAAACAAAGGGGAAAAGGCACACTCAGCTCACAGTAGACAAGATGACACTCTCTTGGCACAAAAAATCTCACCTTTCCAGCTGATACATTGTTCAGGGTCTTAATGAGTTCTATGCGGGTTTCAATATCTGGTGTCTGATCAATATACTGCATTGCTTGTTGCACCATTGCAGTTACAGCCTGTAGAAAACATGAAAGCATGATAACTAAAAGTCCTACCCATAGCCTTTGAATACAATAAATTGGTATGACAAATCTAAGCTGGCACACACATAGAGAGAGATTTTCCGAAGCAACAGTTAGAAAATTTCCAGACATAGACTACTCCAACAAGAATCCAAAATAAAACTTGTTCCGCATGAAATAAGGAATAATACTGGTTGTTCCCCATCCAAATCCCAACCATAAAACCTACGAGTGGTAATTAGTGTTGAAACTTCAGATAACAGATTAAGCATGAACAGGTAAATACTCAAAACACAAAACTAAGGAGTTAAAATTCCAGGTTCATTGAAGTAATCAGGCTCTTTCTACTCAAGTTCTCCCTGAACCGGACCTCCATTCCAAACGACAGTTCAATTCATCCAGGAATTTACATGGTGATCCAAACATGTACCGCTATCCTCGTGGATACAAGAGATATCATTGCACCAAAAAAATCCTCAGCATGAACATATCTGATTAGCTTCTATCACGGCATCATCGAATCTCCCATCAAGATTATTAAGAATTAAGTTGGTAACATTCATCTCACAGGAAGCCCAAAGTCAAAGGATAAGAGATGCCTAGTTTATGACCTAACGAGCTAAGAAACGCCAAACTAAGTAACAGTAACTAAGCAGGCACCCCAATGACAGCTAACTCCCCTTCCAGCTGAAGCAATTGCGGAAAATTTTCAGCTCCTAGACTGGCATTCAGCTAAAAGCAACCGCTAAATCTCTACTCCGTGCAAACAACGAGCCAGCAGCTAAAATCCACTAAGTTCTCAATTTACCTGCTTGAGTTGACCGCGCTTCTTAGAGAGGATCAATATCTGATCGTTCAGCGACTTCCAGTCCTTAGCCTGGAAGCAGAGCTCCAGAATTTCGGTGACGGCCTGCCTCGTGGCGGCGACCTCGCCGGCGAGCCTCGACTGCTTCTCCGCATTCTGCAACCGCTCTATCGCCGTCTCCAAATTCGCACCACTGCCCTGCGATTCGCACAAAACAAGAGAAGAGGATATCAAACGACGGTGAACGAGAACCAACAGCGGAGCCGGCGCTCCAATCGAGAGAGAAGAAGAAGCTATAGCGCTCAGATCTGTCAGAAACGCGCCGAGCTCTCACCATTCTGAATCGGATGGAAGCTCTGAGAGACTGTAGATGGACGAAGAAAAGCAACCCTAGAACTGGAATGGAGTGAATCGGAGTGTTTTGGTTGCTTTCCTCTGATTTTTGGCAGAGATGAGAGCTTTATATTTATTTTAAACCCTCACGCAAGAGATCCTCTGAGGCTCTGATGCTGAAACGGGTCGGTTTGAATACGGGTTGATGTCCGCCCAATTTCAGGTGCGCTTCCGGGTTCAAGTACACCGTACCCGAACACCGGCAGTCCAGCTTAGAGGCCTTTGTTAGGTGAGTTTAGGATTTTGCCTATTGAACAAGAAATAGATGAGTTTAACAATTTTGAATGGAAATTGTTCTTGTTCGAACTTTGGGGTTAGTAAGATTTAGTTAGACGAAAAAATTGATTGCAATAAGAACAATATAAAAAAAATGTATTTAACGTGTATTTGGTATTTTGTTTTAGTCAATTGAATTACAGAATAACGACAATAATATGTCAAGTTTGATTCGCTCCTTATGTCTACATGAGTTGGTGTGATCAAAACATTACCTGTCAAATTTTTGAATATGCAATTGGACAACATGGTATCTGGTAGTTCTTCCCTCAAAAGACTAACCTTCAAGAAGAATCAACTCAACATAAACTCAGATATTCTAGTTAAAACCTACGCACACAAACTTTGGAAACGTTGCTCGAACGTTCTTGAGTAGATGACCTCTTTGATGGCGAGATCAGCCCCAAAATACTACGAAAACTACTAAAAAAACAACAAAGCAAGAAACTGAATTGGGTTCCAATCTTCTCATGACATTAAACGAAATAATGAGTGCATATTTATAGGCTTAGAACCTCCCCTTACTCCTACCTAAAACATGACTCCTACTCCTACCAGGAAACAACTAACAATACCCCAAATCCTACTTAAACAAGGAAAACACTAACGACGACTAATAATAATAAACTATTACTAATACTAAAATAATAAAGATACGCAAGCCCAGTTAATTAGCCCAATTGCTACGATGGTCTGGTTCTCGTAACACATATATTCTTAAAACAAAGTTTCGCATATGATTATACAATTATCAATCCCATATCACAAAATGAGAAATTACGATAATGCATAGTGAGTCCAACTCGAAATTAGCTTTCCGAAAACTTATGGACACAATTAAGACACAATAGAGTCCCGCTCAATGAAAAACTGGCACGAAATTTGACTTGATTATAGATGCTTCATAAGGTAAGTAGCATGGTGGAGTATCTTGGTCTACAAATAAGGCACAAGAGAATCTTGGGGTGAATGAGGCTCAAATTTGAAAAGGGGTTGTGAATCAAGTAACTAGGTATCTCCTTAGTTTGACCACAAAGAAAGCACAATTGCTTGTGCTATAAAACCCAACACTACAATCCATCCCAATGGCTCATGAGTCATGACGACCTCTAGAATCTCAACATTCATCCGTAAAAACCTAACCAAAAGAATTGCAGACCGTTTCCCTATATTCCCATTTGGAATGGTACATCACATTGCTTCAAAACCTTGCTCATACTTCTAACCCCACCACTATAAACACCACCACCACCAACAACAACAACAACAACAAAAAAAAAACTCTTCATCTCGACCTTCTAACCTACCGAGCTACTTCATCATACCCCATCTTCTATGGCAATATGCCTCTCCGAAATCTTCATGAAGTCCTTATCGATCTCCAAGTTGTCCTCCACCTTCACCCGACGATCATCCCCACCATCTCCATTCTCTCGATTCGCTTGTTCCCTTAGCTGCATCGCTGGGAAACAATACTGTTGTTGTTGCTGCGTCTGCTGCTCTTCTTGTACGTAAGCCCGAAAATTGATCCTGGAAGGCTTGGTCTTGCTGCAAAACACTTCCAGGAAGTTCCTCAAGCAACCCTTGTTGTACACATTCACCCTGTTCATGGCCCCATATCGGAAGTTCTCGTATGTAGTCTGTTTTTTTTTTACAGAGTTTTCAGTAACAAGGAAAGGGAAAGTTCAAAGCTTTTTGATCCATTGTAAGAAGGTTTGACAGGGAAATGAAGAAACTGATCACCTGATTTCTGCTGATGAGATAGAGATGGAAGCAAGTGAGTCCACCAACAAACCACAGGAAAATGAAGCAGTAGATCATCAGAACGACCGATGCAGGGGATTCCCTCATTGCCCTCCAGAGGTAGACGTGTTGATCCATGAGAAACTTGATGTTCCAAGCCGACATTGCAAAGACGTAGATGCACAGAAACGCCGACGACGAAACGAAGAGGAAGAAGTGGCGGTAGTTGCGCTGCAACATTTCGTCAAAGACACATCGATGCACGGAGTCAGTCAGGTCAGAAATTGCCATCACTACTACTACGTGTCAGTAAGATAAACCGTAGAAACGATAGATCGCGTACCACGCCAATGCACTGGCCGACCCAGGGGCAATGGTGGTCGAACCTCTCGACGCAGTTGTCGCAGACGGAGCAGTGGGAGCAGCGAGGCGGGCGGTACAGCATGCAGGTCTCGCAGTACTTGACTTTGACGGGGAGGCCGTTGACCAGGACCTCTTTGGTGCGAGGCAGCCGTGGAGTTGGTGTCTGCCTGCCATTGTTGGCGTCGATTCTGATGGAAGGGTCGTAGAAGCTTTCGTCTTCAGGTGGATGTGTGTTTCGTGGGACGATGCCTGGGTCTCTGCTTGAAGTGAGGAATAGCAGCACTAGTACCTGTATGTTAGCATATCATTCAATCAAACGAGTCAACATTTTTCATTTATCATGTAGATGGACTAAAGTACTGGCATTATGGATTGATGAAATTTGGGTTTGAGAAAATTTGGTTCCAATGAAATGAGGATTTTGTTGTGTCTTGAAATTGGTACAAATTAGTTTGTCGATATGAGGGATAATCAAGATTCTAGAGTTCGGTTCGCGTTAGAAATAAGTTTACGAATTAGTGGTGACTAGTATTCTAATATTGGGTTGGTGACTAGACTGGTTTGTAACCTAACAATTGAGTGGTTGGAGAAAATCATAAAATCAAATGTAGTGTCATTTTCTTGTGCATGATACGACTTTGACATTATCCCAACCAGAATTCGTAATCTAAATGACTTATACAAGATTTAGTTTTGGACTTCCACCGAAGATGTTAGTTATTGTGATTGAATTGGTATAACAGGCACTTGCAAAGTTCAAACCTTAAAAAATGATTTTTCGATTGAAAGGAGTTGTTTTAGTGAATGATATATAATTATATATGCTACATCGTTTGAACTTTTGTTATTGATTAGAAACTTTTTACTTTCTCACTATTCACCACGCCAACTTGGTAGTTTCTTAAGAAATTTCTCTGGCTTCAAACTCAGTGCAATGCTTAGAGAAGCTAATTAAGTAGCAAAAGAGATCAGAGAGGAACTGACATAGATTGTGAAGAGAATGGCTGCAGCTGGGATGGCGTAGCGCAGGCAAGATGTTGGCGGCAACTCCTCTGCAAGATTCCTCGCAACGCTCGTGCAGAAGATAACGGATGGAATCAGAATTAGCAACACGGTTATCGCCACTGATCTTGCATCTGGTCCAAATATTAGCCTACCCTTCAACAGAAATATCTGCATAAACCCAGATGGGAAAATCAAAATAGGAAACAAATAACAAGTTGTAGAAATCCCATTTCTTCACGAATCAAACAAAGACGGGATGGGTGTTACATGCCTTAAAAAGGACAAAAGATAATAATGAAAGGACTGGTAGTTGCAGCCATTAATGGTAGTCTGCAGTCACAAATGTGGAAAGATAATCTGACCGAAGCAGAGGACAACAAAGAGAATGTCTCGTGAAGTATTAAATCCTTTATACTTAATACGCATGATTTTTTTCCCCATTTAATTGTGATCTTAGAGCTGAAACGGCAGAAATTAGAACAGAGGGAGCAAAAAACAGAGGATGAAAACTGAAAAACAGGGGAGAAGACGAAAAACAGAGGACTCCAACTGAGTGAGGAAGAAGAACACAGGTTGCAGAAATGGAGCAATGGAACAAAACCCAGATGGAATAGAGAGGGAGAGACTCACATTTCGTCCTTTCCAGGCTTGGTAAACGCGCTGCCGGGTGGTCGCCATTGGAGGAGAACAATGATGGGGAATGTGGGGTGAAGTTGGTAGGAAGCGAAAAAAGAGAAGAGCAGGGAGACACAAAGAGGGAATAATGATGGGAGATTAAAAGAAGAAGGGAATATTGTAAGCTTGTGGGAGCGGATGTTGTTGTTGTTCATTGTTTTCCCCTTTCCTCCACTTTTGTTCTCCCTCTCCTGTGAATAAAAGAGAGGGAGAGAGAGAGAGAAAGGGGGCGGTTCAAGGGTTCAAACTGTGAGCTGGAGAGATGGATGGATGAATGATGGGATGGCTTGTTGTGGGGATTGATTCTTCTTCTACTGAGGCTTTTGGAACTTTCCTTTACTTTATCCTCTTTAAATAACCCTCCTTTCTTGGAACGACCAAAGATTTGGAAACGCAAAGATAAAGAACAGGGGATTTGTTAAACTGCATAATCTCTCACAAGGTTTTGATTTTTCCTTCCTCTTTTTTCCTTTAATGCTTTCTTTTGGGATGGAGATAGGAGGCGCGGTCGTCAAAATGAAGATTTGACTGATATATGGTTGCCTAAACATGATTCCTTATCCTCAAATTCCTTCTTTTGACAAGGTAGTTTCATTAGTGAACAAAGTGGGTGTTAATCCAAATGAATATTATACAAAAATGAGATAAAGAAAGGGGAAAACACATCTACGAAGTCCATACTATGTGTTTATATACAAATACAATCCACCAATACAAAAACGAGTCATTCACAATTTCTTATAGGTGACATTATTAGGTACATTATGGGGGACTTAATATGTGTAGTAATGGGGATAGGCCACTTTGAGGAGACATTGATGTCTTGTATGAGGAGTAGGGCTGTTAGCGGTGCGGTTTCGGTTTTAACTGAACCGCACCATCGGTTAGCCGAGATCGAGAATCACTCAGCATTGTCAACCGAAGCCGACACCGAATGGGTTCTCGGTTAACCGCCAACCGCGCACCGTTGGTTTTGGTTTTTGGTTGCGGTTTGCCGAGACCGACCCACACCAATTTTGAAGCGGCGACAGGGGAAGAAGAGAGAGGCATCGGAGGCGGAAAATCCCAAGTTGGGTCTCCCGCAAATTGAGGTAGATGGAGGGAGAAAGCGTCGAGAGGAGGGGAGACTGGAGAGGGAGGAAGGGAAGTGGCAGGGCGACGACGATTGGAGAAGGCAGGGTGGGTCGTGATCTTGCTGTTGACCGCCGAGGATGAGGAAGGTAAGGCAGCGACCATCAAGGAATATGCAAGGGGAAGCGGAGACGGCAGCGAGGTGGGTGGATCTGCTTATGCTAACTCCTTCCGCAGCAGCGAGCCGACGACCTCTTTCGACAAGGAAGGAGTGGGCGAAGTCAGGCGGGGGAGATTGAGGCGGAGAAGTCGACGGCGAGTGGCGATTGAGGATAGTGGTGGCTGCCGAGGAACGTCGGTAGAGAGCGAAGATTGAGGATAGTGGTGGGCTGGTGGCTGGCGATTGGGAAAGGGTATAGAGGTCGACGACGAGTGGCGATTGAGGATGGTGGTGGCTGGCGATTGGGATTCCCAATTTGGGAAAGGGTAGAGAGGGGCGAGCCGACAGGAGAGGGAGATATTAGTGATTGGCGAGGAGGAGGGATATGGATTGGAGACTGGCGGTTATAGGCAGTGCACTAAGTAATTCTCGGTTAGAAACCGTCGGTTGTCGCTTATGAAATTTTCCTCCAACAGCCAACCGACGCCGACACCGAAAGTCCCAATCGGTTTTCGATTTCGGTTAAAAACCGACGCTTCGGTTTGGTTTTTTGGTTAAACTGGATAACCGGCAACCGAATATCACTCCTAATGAGGAGAGACCTATATAAGGAGTAATCTCCTTCACTTGCAAGTTGCAACTTATTCCATCATTTTATTTTTTGAGTAATCTATCTATCTATCTATCTATCTATCTATCCATCTATCTATATCTATATCTATCTATCTATATCTATCTATCTATCTATCTATCTATACTATATATTATGGCAATTCAAAAAAAATTTCTTGCCACATAAGCACTTGGAGGATCCACAATTAGCCAAGTTGGACAACTTTTTTACAAACAAAAAATTAGTTATTAATGTATTTATGGAGCTACCTCTCTCTTCTTTAATATTTCCATTTCTTTTATCCAATTATTCTTTTTCATTTATCCATTTATTCTTTTTTGTCTTTTATAATAAGTTACATGTTGATAAACTTAACCAAACACACATAAATAATAATTTTTGTAAATAAAAAAAATATAAATAAGAAAAAAGAGAGTGACATATATCACATTTATTTAAATAAAAAAATATATGATTAAACCTTATGAAATAAATTTTCTACTCATTTTTACTAAAATTCAATGATAAGTTACATTTTGATGAAAAAATAAACAAACATACACATAAAAAATTATGTTTTAATCGATTAAACCAAAATATATATGAAAAGAGAGAAAATAAACATTTTTCATTCAATTACCTTTGAAAAATAAACTAAATTACTTTATATTTTCTTGCAATGAAACACTCTCTTATTCGTACAATATATATCTATAAAATAAAACAGTATTATTTAGCAAAATGTCAGAGTATTGTCTTGATCGAGTAGTTACAGTTATTTATTTAAAAAGAATTCTTATTTATTCAGATCATGTTCTACCTTAAATTCGTCAAATGAAGAGGAATCGCATGTGCAATAATTTGATAATGTGACCTACGTTCACATTAATAATATTTGCTCTATATCATGTTGATTGAGCAAGCTCTATTGAGGTTCTAAGTCGTATGCTAAGAAATTTTCTTTCAGACTTGGAGTTATCTTCGACGATTATAAATCAAAATTTTCAAAATGACTTAAGTATGATTGTTGACTAACTTTGACTTCATACCCTAGGATGAGACACAAGATTCATTGAAAAATAATAGATGTGAAGGTTAGAAAAATCTTTGTTCAGAATCTACGATAAACATCATGTTTCATCAACTACTAACATAGACATTTACCAAATAAAGGTTGGCAATTTTTAGTAAGATCGTCAATTGGGATAAACATACTTATCCAGCAATCAAGTATCTTTATCCAATAATCTCAACTCTCAAAATTGGTTTTCAGTTCGTCTAGACTCGAGAAAAACGAATTAATATATGTTGTATGAGATAATAAGTTAATGCAAATAATCAAATGAAATACACTGATATTGTTCAAATGATAAGACATTTTAAATGCACTTAAAATATGTGTGCATTGGAGACACTCTTTATCAATTATTATGTATAAGCGATAAAATCTTTGAAAATTACACATTCAAAGACCATGTTAAGACCAAAAATCCTCGATAGTGTGTGTGAGTGCCTTAGATTGAGATTCTAAGTCGACATATAAACAATGACCACCGGTTTAGGTTTAGTATAAACTTCAAAAATTAACAATGGATACATATTATATAATAGGGCTAATACCACTACAACACCCGAACTATTCGAAAAATGTCACTTGTATCCTATTCTTTCTAATATTCCATTTCTATCCTGAACTAATTTTCTGTTAGTGTTTAACAGAAAATCCAGTCAGCGTTGATGTGGCATCTGACGTGGAATTTTAAATTTTATTTTTATTTATTAAAAAAGAAAAACAAAACCCACTCGCCCTTCTTTCCCCTTTCCTCTCCCATCTCACAATCGACAGATTCAATCCCTTGATTCAATCCCCTTCCCTCTCCGAGCTCCAGATCGCCGGCTCCGTTGGAAGTCACCGTTCTCATCCACTCACTCCTCCCTATCTGATCGGCGGCCGTAGAGCTCCAGATCTTCTCCATTCGTCGTTGTCGAAGAGATGGTGGATTCAGATCCGGTGAAGAATGAGGAGCCCGTTGGCGGCGGCGGCGAGACCTGATCAATACGTCGCCGATGGGAAGCGTGGTGACTCAAGTATGCCACGTCGTCGTGGCGGCCATCTGGTCTCACAGGGACGATGTGCACACGGTGCGATACTGCGGGCCGGAGAACATCGATTCTATGCACAAGTCGATGAATTATGTTTCTTCTTTCAGGATTTTTTAGGGCTTTCGATTTGTAATGGGGAGAGATTGTTTCTGTCTTGCACTGGTAGGTGACGTTGGAGGTGAAAGGGGAGACGCAGATGTTGAATCTGGCGGAGAAGCTGAAGGGTGGAAAGATTGTTCATAAGTTGTGGGTTGAACAACCAGTTCTCCCATCTGTATTTCTACCAAGCCTTACCCTAAATCTGATGTTGCTTCGTTTTCAAGAAGCTAAAGCTCTGCAAGTGAAGTGAGGATGAAATTTTTTGTTACACTGTCATCGACATTGATGCATTTGAAGATACAATTTTTCAGTTGTGGATCGATTCAAGGAGGACGGTCGGAGATGCAGATGTGGATCTGGGATTCTGCAGCGCCAGCTCATCGAAAAGCATCACTGATCTTGCCTTGCCGCAACAAGCGATTCTCATTCCCATCAAGTGACCAAACTTGCGTGCATCTGTGGGAGATTCAGAGATTGACGTGGTGGTGAGATGAAGAAGCAGACTGAAATTTTCTGGATTTTTTTCGATCTGACAAGAAGCTTGAGAAACAGCTCGAAATATTCTTTAGTAATATTGTTGAATTTAGAAGTTATCATTTTTTATTTTCATAATTTAATTTTATTATGATTTTGAGTAAAAATGATGTGGCAATGACATGGCGCCTATGTGGATGCCACATACTTTATCACGTCAGCAAAAGTCAAGAACAGTTTGACCTCCGTTTGGTCAACTGTTATCTTTAACGGTCAACAAAATCGGGAGGACACAAATGACAAAACAGAACATACGAAAGGACATAAATGGAATATTGAAAAGAATAGGACACAAGTGGCATTTTGATCATAGTTCGGGTGTTGTAGTGGTATTAGCCCTATATAATATACTAAATTTAAGTGTCTGGATAAAAAAAAACAAACATCCAAAATGGAAATGAGTCGAGATTAGAGAATTTAGTCATCATGAGGGATACAGTGTGTGTCAAGTTTCAATATGGATGAATAAATCCAATAATGAAGTATCTTTACTAAGAATTTCTCACTAAAAAGTCGTAATGTTGTAAAAATTACTAAGAATTTCTCACTAAAAAGTCGTAATTTTTAGACATTGGTCGAGAGTTCGTCCAAACTCGAGGATCATGAATGTATATTGGATTTCCAAAGGACCTTAAATCCCAATCCCTTTCGAGGGCTAAATACCTCGATCACAACCATAGGTGCTAAAGTAGAATGAAAAAGAAGCCAAAAAAGCAAAAAAGAACATAACCT